TTTTTTTTTTTTTTTTTTTTTTTTTTTTTTTTTTTTTTTTTTTTTTTTTAATGAAAGCACAGTTACCACGTAACAATTTCTACAAAAGTATAAATTTGAATTTGTACAAACTAGGTAGACAGATGTACGCGTGAATTTGGTAACAACTTTGTTAATCAATATGTAAAGGTTGCGTATCATACGAGTAGTTCATATAGCACGCATATTTATGATATAAGTTGATGAACCAGAGAACCGAGAGAAATATAAGAAAAATTGTCAAGATTTATTCAAAACGATATGCAGTATGAAACTCTGTGCTTAACTTTTTAGTAAACTTATTGCTGCAATCAATGTAATAAGAAATATACATTATTGTATGATATAAATTGAACAATTAATTTAATATAATATGGTCTCGTCATAAAAATAATTGAAAAAAATTGTAGAGTTCCTATTATCAATTATTTCACGCCGTAATAATCGTGAAGATCTGCCTGAGCTTCGTAATAAATTTGTTGCTGCATCAATATAATAAGAAGGTTACATCACTGTATGAGATGCAAATTACATCACTGTGAGATGAGATGTAAATTACATTACTATATGAGATGCAAATTTAACAATTAATTTATTATAGTATAGGGGAGACCTGGGCTAGTTGGTTATCGGGGTAAGTTGGCAAAACCAATTATTTTAGCTATTTTCTAATTTACTGAATTTTCTAAGTTACTGAATTAAGCAAACAAGATTTTTAAACATGTCAAAGATGACTTTGAAATCCTTGCTTGCTTGATTTTGAAATCTGTTAAAGAACAGTAGAAATAATCGATCTTGCCAGCTTACCCCGGTAGCCAACTAGCCCCGATCTCCCTTATGTTTTCTTCATCAATATCACAAAATATATTGTAAACTTGCCATTAGCGATTGTCTCACGTAGTGACAATCACACACGAGAGTCTATCCGAGGGGAAATGTAAATGAATAATCCAAATGTATGTATATGTACATTCGAAATTTCTTCTCGCGCATGAGAAATGCGTTACACTTCGCGCGAGAAGCACGAGCCGCTCTCCGGTTAGCCGCTCGTTCTTACTTAGTTAGCATTCATTTCGGTCTCGGCATAAATGTACCTCGACGAGTCGCTCGCGCGCGGCAAACCGCCGCGGAACAGCCGCGCGTGAAGAAGCGGACCCCGTCCGTGTGTGTACCTTTTCCTCCTCCGCGCTGCTGCTGCTTCTTCTTCTTCTTCTTCTTCTTCTTCTTCTTCTTCTTCTTGGCGAGTGCGATCGGTGCGACCGCGTACACGCGCCGGAATCCTCTCTATCTCTCACTCTTTCTCTTTTTCTCCTCGCCCTCACCCTGGCGCGGCGCGCGGCTCGCTTGCGTTTGGTCGGAGGTCGTCCGGCGTCAGACCGGGGACGTCAGCGACCCCGCTTCCTCGACCTCCGCCTAAGCGAGAGAGCCACCTACACGGCTCTCACACCTACTCGGAGCACTTACATGTCCGGCCGAGGGAACGTGCTCTCCGCACGGACGAACCGCACGGAGACCACTACCTAACGGGCCGAACAGGCCGCGCTTGTCGGCGACGCGCCACTACATGCGTCAACGCTTACGCACGCACGCACACACACGTACACACACATACACCCACCCGTGGCTCTTATATACAGCCACTTACGCGAGAACGTAAGTCTCAACGTGTGCGTGCATGCGTGCATGCGTATCGCGTACGTAGATTTTTATATTGAACTGCCGAGGCTGCCGCGCGAGCGCGAATCTCCTTCGAGGTGCTTACGCACACACGGGGACCGTTGTCAAGGTGCGCACGCTGCCGTGCGCGATATCGCGAGATCGCGTGGAACGTACAAATACACTCGCGTGCGCATCGGCTTATATCGGCCGAGCGTGTAGCTTCAACTTCAGCTTTACGTTTAGGCTTAGTTTTAGAGGCCTTATTCCGAACGTCCCCGACACGTTGTGTCTGGCTGTGTGATCGTAAGTTTCGTTTCTTCTTGTTTTTTCTTTTTTTTTTTCTTACATAAACGCCGAGTATAACGTTGTTTCAACTTGACAATTCGTTTGCATAAAATTTGCGACACTTTTTTCATGAGTTTATGGACACGCGAAGTTAAAGAAACTGCATACCTCTGTGCCCGACAGTTTGTGCATTGACAGATTTGAGAAATATCAAATTTTTAAATGCGATAAAAATACGGTGGCCCCAAATAATACTTGATCTATGAAACCATCGCTGATCGCGTGCATTTATTTATTTATTTATTTATACATTAGGAAAAACTCTTGTAGGCATTTCAGTCTAAATATGAAACCTTTTCAGTAAACTTTTAAATAGTTGCAAAATCTCTCTCTCTCTCTCTTTCTCTTTTATAAAAGTCACTATAGTCCATAAAACCTAAATATTCGTCGTAATAATTATGATATACAAAAGCATGGCCTGAATTGAATTCAAAAAGTGGTATAGAGGAGAGACAATGGGCACATGGACGCAGAATATTCCTAAATAAGCCGCAAAGCATCCCCATTACTGTCCCCAACTTTACTGATATTTAGCAGAGGTTGCATTCGCCAATGTGTATATATATAAATGATACAAAGTGTCTCGGTTTGCACAAACTACGCAAAGTGGAAAAAAATATTACCTTATAAACAAATTTATAAGCAAAAGTGCATAAATATCATTATATTGTATAAACTCGCCAAAAAGATATCGCAAACTTCATGTAAACAATTATACTTAAGTTTTTCAGGAATGTATGACAATACACATGTGTTTACATTTAGATTCGTTCAACTTTTCTTCTTCAACCCAAGTATTGTCGCGACAAAATATAACGAACATTATTGCGAATAAATATTCACTAGAAAATTTCACAATAAGAAAAAGAGAAATTCTCTCATATGATTAACGGACGCCATATTTATGTCATTTTAAAATTAAATCGGGTCCTTTGGACCCAAATTAATTTATCCCTGAGGGGTTGATGATCGCCTCTTATCTTTGAACCGGCGTTGCTCTACATAAGTCGCGAATCGGTCGCAAGCAGACGCAACGATTGTGGCAGCGACGAATCAGAGGCGTTAGTGGTATCAATGACGCTTCTGATTGGCTGTCGCCACAACCGTTGCGTCTGCCAGCGATCGACTAATGTAGAACGTCCTTTACAGGCGTCGCGATGTGACTAATAGAGCACAACTTGCATCGGTCTCACCTTGCTCGTTTGAATGCTCGCGAGCGCCCTCGCGATACCGCGCTAGCATCAATATATTTGTTCACTTAATATTATGCATTCCATGATATTACATATTTCACGCCTGTATATATATATATACACACATCCCTCCTCGCGTCAAAGGGGGATGCGATCGATACCATCTGGTCGCCGTCGAGATATTTGGCACGGTATCGAGGAGGAGCGACGTCCGGACGCGTTATTACCATCTATAGAAATTTGCTGTGATCGGAATCACGTGATTTATGCGATCGCCTGGCGCGCGTACGACTACGCCTCGCGTACGTTCTCTTACGTGTACATAAGGAGAAACTCGTACGTTCCTCAGCAGCACCGAGCAGACGACGGCTGGTGGGAGAGGTCCGTACTGCGAGCGGGGCCGCGAGGGGGCGGCAAGGAGAGGAGGGAACGAAGGGAACGACCGTATGGAGAAGAAGCTCGGGACGATCGGGATGCTAATTCGTTTTGCTCGCTCCCTCAGCTCCTTCGTCCTTTTCTGCGAATGCAGATCGTCGGCGGACGGCGGGCGTTGGAATGCGTTTCTCGTTCCGCGAGGGCGAGAGGATAAAGGTGCGCGCGCGGAGGATTATGAGTATAGTTCATTCACGATTTCGGCAGGATCGCTTACACACATGCGCGGGATCTCCGCTCGTTTTTTCGTTATTCGCATATGCGCGCGCGCGAGCATCAGTTTTTACGCGCGAGACCTGCCGGAGACCGACTGAGACCAATTCGCATGGCGAAACGAGTTTCGCGAATTCGATCCGGGATGACACTAAATGGACGTACGAGCCGTTTTGGATAATCGCCGGATTTCGATGGTGACGACATGCACCCCCGGATTATTTATGGGCGTCAATTCCTACATAGAAATTTCCCAACATTTTCTCCGGTACAGCATAGATTCCGAGTAGAATGCTCAAATTTGTCCCTAGATTGATTATCCCACTATGATACCAATTAAGAATTCTACTCTCGTCTCAAACAGAGTTCTCTGTCTAGAATCGAAACAGAAATGCTATGGAAACTCGCGCTTTTTTCAGTCGGTAACATCGGTAACAGTCGGTAGTACTTTTATGGTATCAAACGGGGAATCTCATTTTTACGTAATCCTTGTATTCAGATGAATAGGAAGTCAAACGAATAAAGTATTTTTAAAACATTTTGAGCGTTTTACTGAATAATATTGAAAATTATGTGGAAAGTCAATATATATTTTATTCAATTCTAATGTAAAATAAAGGTCAGGAATATTATTGGCAAAACTTTCATTTTTCTAAACTATAACATAATAAGAGCTCTGGAGTATATAACCTAAGTAAGAGAAAAATAAGGCTTATAAAAGTCTTAATCATGTAAATACAAATAATTTTTAAATTTA